CTGGCAGAACCAGGTGGAGGCCGGACTTGGAGACAGCTCTCAAGTGTGCCCACCTGTGGTGCCCTCCTCCCCATACCTGCAGTGCCAGGTGCAAGGAAGGGTGGGAGGGGCCACGAAAGGCCACGCTGCCTCCCAGAGGACATGGGACCAGCCGGAGATGTATAATTGCTCAGCTGTCCACAGCCTTGCCATTTCTCAGATAGTACTCAGAGTACTGAGGCTGGAGCAGTCATCTAACCACTGGACGCCCCAAATCTCACCGGCCAGGAGAGGCAGAGCTTCTAGGAAAGGCCCACCACCCACATCCCAGGCCCACCCCCCACCCCAGGTCCAGAGTCCCCAGAGACCAGATGGGCCCCGTGGCCCCCTCGAGTAACATGACCCATGGGAGAGGCTGGCTATGGTGGCCTTCATGTTGCACAGAGAAGTAGAGTAACCAGCTGGGTGGGGTCAGAGCCTGGACACCTCCAGCCCCTAATCCCAACCCCCATGGTGCTGGGAGCCCCACCCATGCCATCCCAAGGTGCTCTGTGGTGGTACATCTGCCAAGATCCCGCTGTAAGCCCCTGGCACCCACGCACTGCCAACCCTGGAGAGCGAGACCGCTGCTTCCAGGCATCATAGGGGGGCTGGGCTGCTTGTGTGTCTTCCCCATAGGGGACTAAGTCTGGGGCCGAGGGTTCGAGGGGCTCAAACCCAGGCTGCAGTCTCTGCAGGGCCAGGGGAACCCCAGCTTCAGGGATCCCCATTTGGGTGGGTGAGGACAGGACAGGCACACCTGGCTGGGCGTGCTAGAGGCTGTGCCAGTGGATAGAAGACCCCAGCTTCCTTGTCAGAGACCCAGTTCTGGTCCCAGTCCCTCGGAGGCCAAGGTGGGAGAATCGCTTGAGCCCAGGAGTTCGAGGCCAGCCTGGGCAACATAGCGAGACTTCATCTCTACAAAAAGATCAAAATATTAGCCAGGCATGGTGGCACATGCTTGTAGTCCCAGTTACTCGGGAGGCTGAAGTGGAAGGATCGCCTGAGCCCAGCAGGTCGAGGCTGTGGTGACCATGAAGCACGCAACTCCACTCCAGCCTGGATGACAGAGTGAGACCCCCACCCCTCCCCCCAAAAATACACTAACCACGTGAAGCTATTCGAATTTAAGTTCACTAAAATGAAAAACTCAGGCTCACTTGTTACATTTCAAGGGCTCAGCAGTCACCCAGGGCATAGCGGCTGTCGTACTGGACCGCACAGTTATGAAACATTTCCAGAACATTCCATGGCACTGTCTGACATACAAACAGCCCCTCCCCTGGTTGGAGAACTGTGCCAAGCACTTCCTGAATAGCAACTCAGAAAGCTTAGCCCTCATCAGGGGTGGCAAAGTTATTATTCGTATGAGAAACTTTGGGTTATTTTTGAAAGAGAGAGGATATCTGGAAGAGAAAGTTAAGAATTATCAGGCAGAGGCAAGCTCTCTCTGCCCGTCCCCCACTGCCCGCCGGGAGTGGCTTATAATGAGGCTGGAGGAGGCTGGCCCGTCCCCCGAGGCTGCACCTTGATCTGTCTAGCTGCTACCTGCTTCCTTCCTGCCCACCTGTCTCCGTCACATTAAAAATAGCCCCACTCCCAGTCCAAGGTCACCATGGTGATGAAGCCAGAGGCTCGGAACGTGGCCGTTCGGGGCCCCTGGCCCCCCAGATATGGAGAGGGTGGGCCACCCTGGGAGGGAAAGCCATAGGCACCAAGCAGGCTTCCTGCATGGCTTCCCTGAACCCCAGCTCCTTCCCCTCTGGTGAGGCAGTGATCGCGGCCCCTCCTGCCACAGAGCCTGGCCTCCCCGTCTCTCTCTGCCAGCTCCCATCCAGCGGTTCTGCACGATGACCCTTGCCAAGTCCACAGGCCCCACTGCGATGCCAGGCCCACTTGACCCAGGAGCTGTGTGGACGCAGCTCAGGGCTTCCTCCCAGAAATCCCTGCCCAGCCCGGCCTCGGAGACTCCACACAGGCCTGCTGCCAGCCAGAGAGACCTCACCGACGCCAAGGCCCTCGTGCTCCTCCTTGGCCTGGCACTGTCTCCAGGTGCTCCCAGGTGTGCCCAAACGCCCCCCAGGTATTCCTATGTGTACCCAGGTGCTCCCAGGGACTCCTAGATGCTACTATGTATGCCCAGATGCTCCCAAGTGCTCTCAGGTGTGTTCTAGTGCCCCCCAGATGCTCCTATGTGTGCCCAGGTGCTCTCAGGTGCTCCCAAATGCTTCCAGGCGTGTCAGGTGCTCCCAGGCGCTCCCAGCTGCGTGGCTCTGCCCCCCTCACCTGGCTGGGCCCTGGATGCTGATCATGCCCAGGTCCTCAGAGCCATCGATGAGCTGACACCGGAACTTCCGGTCCTGAAGCACCGTGGTGATATGGGACCAGTTGTGTTGGGCCACGGCCCCGCCCACAGCCAGGTAGTAGCCGTCCCCTGGAAGACAGAACCTGGACTCAGAGCAGGATTCAGGGCTGGGGAGGTGGGGACAGTGGGAGACAAGTGCCCTTTCCTAGAAAGGAAGCAGTAAGAGCACAGCTCTGGAACTCCTAGAAGGACCCTGGATTCTCACTGAGGACAAAACCTGGGTCTCCCAGGATGGGGGGCTTGGGGCAGGACCCTGAGGGCTGCACAGGGAGTGTGTGAGGCCTATGGCCACTTCTGAGAGCCTTCCCGATCCAGAAAGGGCCGAGGGCCATCAGGCCATGGGAAGGCTGTGTCCCGCCTTAGCCACCAGTGCTGGGTGACCTTGGACATGTGTCTCTTCCTCTCTGAGCCTCAACATCCACACCGGCTCCTGTTTCACCCTGTACTTCCCTGACCTTGGGTCTCTGGCGTCCCTGCCCTGGCCACATGGGTGCTTGCTGGAATGGGCTCTGGGATGGGGGCTTTCCAGGAAACACCTGCTTGATCCCACCCCGTACACTGACTCATCACCATCCCTGGGTTTCAGAAAAGGAGACTGAGGTTCCCAGAGGTTGCACAAGGTGGGAGAAGATGGAAAGCCATCTGGCTCTGACTCCACCGCTGTGGAATGCCCACTGGGCCACACTGCCACCGGGCTCCCATGCTTGAGGGCAGCCCACCTTCACCCAGCCTCCTGCGGGAGCTACCGCCCGGGGTTCTGTGACCTTGGGCAGCTGTGTGGCCTTGAAGCCGGCACACAGCCTCCAAGCCTCCACATCCTGCTCCGTGATTTGGGCAGGGACGCTGAGACTAGTCAGCCACGGCATGTGCCTGGTCCCTGGTCCCTGGGGCGAGCTGGGCACTCACTGAACCCCGCCCCTCACAACCTCCGGGGGCCGGGGCATCCACTGGCTGGTGGGAGGCATCAAGGTAGCAGCATGAGCCGGGCGTGGGGGCCTACAGTCCCAGCTGCTAGGAGGCTAAAGAGGGAGGATCATTTGCGCCAAGCAGTTCGAGGCTGCGGTGAGCCATGATCGTGCCACTGCACTCCAGCCTGGGCAACACAGTGAGACCCCAACTCAAAAAAAAAGATGGCAGTGTGATGGCCAAGCCCTCAGGCCCTGTCCCCTTCCCAGGGCTTGGTCCTGTGGGAGGCCGCTCTGTTCGGTCTTAGAGCTCATTTGCTCTGGGCCCAGAGGGAAGGCAGGTCCACACCAGCCCCTGGCCCCAATCCGGGGTGGCTGTGGGAAGCGGGACCACTCACACCATCCCCCCCGTGTGTCATTAAGGTCATGGGTGTAGCCGCCTGCTATGAAAAACCGAAGCCCTCACGTCCCTTTCCAGCAAAGGAGGCAGCAGCTGAGGCAGACTCGCAGCTGGGCCCTGGTGCTCCTGGGGTCTGGCCACCCCACTGGACACTTGGAGCTGGGGACCCTCCTCCTTCCCCAAGCCGGGGTTGGGCCCCACCATCAGCACCCACCAGGGGAGGAGCAGAGGTGTACCTGGCCCGTGGCAGCCTCCCAGCTGAGGTCCCGGCAGGGTGTGGTCCTTACCACCCTCCTCCCACCTGTGCTGCCCCAATCCAGCCTCTTTCCAGATCCAATCCAGGCCTCAGCCTCCAGGAAGCCTCCTTGACCACCAAATACACCCCTTGGTGAACAAAACCCCAGTCCTGGATCGCCCAGGCTGAACCCTCATGTCACCCACTCACTCCCTCATCCCAAAGAGCACCCTTGGGTGGCCCCAACCCAGGCCACAAAAGCCTTGGTCTGGATAACCCTCCTATCCCCAGACCCCCCTCCGGTTCACCATCCTAATGCCCAGTCTCGCCGTGTCACACCCTCGCTCCCCGCGGCCCTGGTGGTCCAAAAGCAAGCCGCCCCTGTGGGCCTGCAGTTCCTCATGGCCTCCCCTGTCCCCTGTCCTCTCATGGGACACTCAGCTCCAATGTGCTCCGGGGCCTCTGTGCATTCTCCCGGGCCCTCACACTCTCTGCTGCCTCCACAGGACCTGAGATGAGCCACTCCTTGGTTGCCATGACCCAATTCAAACATCACCTCCTCCCAGAAGTCCGCCTGTACCACTCCAACCCCGCAGAGCACAGCAGGGGCCTGTGCCTTGACGGTGCCTGGGGACCTTATCTGTCCTTCCCACCAGCCTCGCATTCAGAGTATCCTCCGAACCCTGGGGGTGGAAAAAGACCTGTCTCCTAAGGCCCCATGACCCATACCTCTGGCAACACCCCATGGGGCAGTTCCCCATACCTGGGAGGACGCTGTCCTGGGAAGCACACAAGCCTTGGCCAGTCCGGCCCAGGTGTGGCTCTGTGGCACACCGACCTCACCTCTCACTTCTCCAAGCCTCCATTTTCTCATCTGCAAAATGGGCAGGCCCACAGCATCCGGCCCCCTGAGTCTGTTGAAAGCCATCAGGGTCCTGGCCAGGCTTAAGGTTGCCTCCTCCCTTTCTCAGCTTGAGCAAACGGACACAGAGAGCAAAGACAAAAAGACTAGTCAGACCCCAGAGGGGTCCCTGGTCCCTGGGCTGGGATGTTAGACCACATTGGAATTCAGCCCGGGCCCGACAGCACGCCCACCCCCACCTCCCGAACACTCACAAACCCTTGCCTCTCAGTCCCTTGCCCTCCGTGTGGCCTACCAGTCCACACCCTCAAGGCCTCTCCAAGGAGGGTATGAGAGCAGCCGATGCCACCTGTGCCCAGATGGACGGCAGAGGCCTCCTCCGGGCAGCCACCCCTGATTAACATCACTGGAAACAAAGCACCGGTCCTGGGTCGGTGGTCAGCCCAGGTCCAGGACAGCTGCAGAGCCACCCGGGGCCACGTCTCCATTGAGACTGGGCATGGGGGGAGCCGTGGGCTGGGAAGGGCTTCCCACCAGCATGTGTCCCTTTTCGTAATACTAAAACAATTCGTAAAGGTTACTCAGAAGGACAACTGCTTTGTTTGCAGCCTTGGCCCATGTGAGCCTCCGCACCCTCTTGACTTACTGGCGAGATTTGAGGCAACCCGTGTGATCACGCGTGTACTCAACACATGCATATTTAATGCTATGAATATTCATGACCAGAACGGAGCCGATCTTAAGCCTGAAAATAAGCAAAGCCCACGTGGTGCTTTCCTCCCATGGAGTGGTGTCCCTGGGACCCGCAGAGCCGCCCTGGGGGACATGACTCATTGTGACATCCCTGTCACCCCCACCAACTGCAAACCACCCCACCCACCAGCCCGGCTGCCCTGAAACCCTCAGCCCTGGGAAGCCGCCAGAATCATCTGGAAAGGCGTGTCAGTGTGCGCCGCTGGAGGGTGGCTCAGTTTACAAAGTGCTCTCCTGATAACTTCTCCTTGTGAGGGGAGACTAACAAAGTCCTCATTCCCCAGAGGGGGAAACTGAGGTCAGAAAGACTGGCCCCAGGCCCCCTCTCCCCTCCGGGCCCTGGCTCCATTCCTTATGCAGCTCGAGGAGGTGGGTCTTTCTGTCCCCAATTCACAGAAGGGGAAAACTGAGGCTCAAGTCACAGAGCCGGGCCGTGGCAGAGGCTGGGTCAGGATTTCTGTTGCCAGCGTCCTCAGTTGGGTCTTCCGCTCCATCTTCCCAGCTCGACTTGCTTGCTAAGTCTGCAGCTGTGGGCTATGCCTGGGTCTCCCTTCTCCAGGGGCTGATGCCTGGCTCCCTACAGACACCGCCCGGCTTTCAATTCCACACCAGCGGCTCCTATCCATCCTTCAAAGCACAGACAGACATCACTTCCTCCAGGAAGCCCTCCTCATCCCGGATCCGCCACTTCCCACAGTCTCCATAACATCTGGCTTTTCCCCAGCCCCCTGCACCATCACCTGGGTTTTCAGGGTCTCTCGCCTCACCTGTCTATCCAGACAGTCTACCGTGGAAGCCCTGAAGCCCCTCTAAGCTCGTCTATCTCCCCCCCTGCACCACCTCCCTGGGTCTGCCATGTGGGGAAGGCTCCACGGTGACTGTTGAGGGAGTGAGTGAATGAATGAATGAGCTCATCGTTGCATGAAGCACACGTGCTCTGGCTGGCCCTGCTCTCTCAGCCGCCAAATTGCCAGTGGCAGGGGGGCAGGGTCTCCAACAGGACACCTCCCCACACTCGCAGGCTGGAGGCGGATACTGGAGGCTGACACTGGTCAATACCGGCCCAGACTCCAGCATCAGCCTCTAACCTGCGGGCCTCATCTCCTTACACCCCTAGGAGCCTGGGAGGCCCCACGGGCCCTCAGTCCCTGAACCCACCCAAGGACCCTTGTTCCCCCTCCCTAGCAGACACCCCATCCTCTCCAGGCTTCATTTTTCTTCTTTTTTTTTGACTTGGAGTCTGACTCTGTCGCCCAGACTGGAGTGCAGTGGCCGCTCCCGGCCACCGCAGCCTCGACCTGCCGGGCTCTGGCGATCCTTCCGCCTCAGCCTTCTGAGTAGCCAGAATTACAGGCGTGCGCTACCACGCCCGGCTGATTTTTTGATTTATTGTAGAGATGAGGTCTCGCCAAGTTGTCCGGGTGGGTTGCGAACCCGCGGGCTCAGGCAATCCACTGACCTCGTCCTCCCAAAGCGTGGGATTATAGGCTGAGCCACCGAGCCCGGCTCCATTTTTCCTCTTAACATCCTACACAGTCTACTTATTGTATTTATTTATTTTTATTTATTTATGTTTTTGAGTCGGGGTCTCATTCTCTCTCCTAGGCTGGAGTGTAGTGGTATGATCGCAATGATCACGGCTCACGGCAGCCTCAACCTCCTGGGCTCAGGCGATCCTCCTGCCTCAGCCTCCCGAGTAGCTGGGACTACAGGCACGCACCACTGTGTCTGGCTAATTTTTTTATTTTTTGTAGAAGAGAGGTGTCGCTTGAGGCTGCTGTGAGCCGTGATTGTAGTAATCGTGCCACTACACTGCAATCTGGGAGACAGAGTGAGACCCTGACTAAAAAATAAAAGTAAAAAAACTAAATAAGTGAACCAGCTACGAGGCCCAGGCTGGTCTCAAACTCCTGGACTCAGCCTCCCAAAGTGTTGGGATGACAGGCGTGAACCACCGCGTCCAGCCACTTAATTTTTTTTTGAGTTGGAGTCTCCCTCCGTTGCCCAGGCTGGAGTGTAGTAGCACGCTTACAGCCACTCCAGCATCGACCCGCTGGGCTCCGGTGATCCTTCCACCTCAGCCTTCTGAGTAGCCGGAACTACAGGCATGAGCTACCGTACCTGGCTAATTTTTTATTTATCATAGAGACAAGGTCTTGCCAAGTTGCCAGGGCTGATCTTGAACCCCCAGGGCTCAGGCAATCCACTGGCCTCAGCCTCCCAAAGTGCTGGGATGACAGGCGTGAGCCACCGCACCCAGTCACTTAATTTTTTTAATCCTGTTTTCTCCCACCAGAAATAGACACTCTGCAGGGGCTGGAACCTTCTTTGTGTGGCCCACCGTTGGGTCCTCGATGCCTCCAACCAAGCCCTGATGCATAGTGGATACTCGAGAACTGCTGATGGATGCACGGATCATGAAATGATGGAAGGTGGGCCCCTTTCTTCCCTGGCCTCTCTCCCCCAGCTCGGCCCCCAGGGGACCCTGACCGAGTCCCATCAAGGATGCAACTAAATTTGCCGCAGCACAGAGTCAGGTCAAGAGCCAAGAACTCACAAGGTCTCCCGAACAGGCTAGCCCTTCCACTGACCGGGCCTCTGCCCCGGGCACCAGCACAGGAGGCAAGCTGAGATCTTCCCCTCTGCAAACCCAGACTTTCAGAGGTGGCTACAGAAAGAGAGGGCATCCCTCGCTGCTCCCTCTCCTTCCCTAGAGGACGTGGCCTACAGTACCAGAGATTAGTTTGCTCCTGTGTGAACCCAGGGATGGCATCAGGGAGCTGAAGTGGCAGGGGACAGACCCTGGCTCAGTGTAATAACCACGGTTGTAAACAGGGAACAGAAGTAGTGAACTGTCTGTCCCTGAGGGCATGCAGGCAGAAGCGGAGGGACTGCGGAGGGCAATCCAGTATCCACGTGGGCGCAGAGTCGGACATCTTCTAAGGACCTGAGCAGGCCTGAGATGGGGGTTGCTTGGGACCGAGACACTGCCACAGCAAGGATGTCAGTGACAGAAAGGACCTGACTTCTTAGAGACGGAGTCACGGCCTTTTTTCCCACCTCCTCCGCTCTGGGGAGTCGCAGCACTGAGCACGCCCACACCAGCTGCTCCAACATGCCGCAGCGTGGACAGGTTCAAAGGCATAATCACTGAGTGCTTGGAGCCCCAGCGGTGCAGCCTGAACAAAGCCAGCATTTAGCCCCAAGCGAGATGGCTCATCTCCCCAGCCCCCAGCCACAAGGCATGGCGGCAAATTACAGGGCATCCCATTCCAGTCGTCCTGCCGTGCACGGCCACCCGTCCCCAGAACAGGCTGCGGTCACGGCGCCATGGCCAGAAGCCTCTTACCTTCAAAGGCGGGGGCCAGCGGGGAGGCCTGGGGCCCGGGGGCCAGGCGGCTGACGGTCAGGTCGCTCTCGGTGCCCCCCCGGGGATTCAGCATGCAGGTGTACATGGTGGAGCCTGTGGGCAGGAGGAGGGACCCGGGTCTGTGCTGGCCCCAGAGCCTGTGAGTTCCTCGGAGCCTGGTGACCCTGGGCAGGACGCCCTGGGGGACGGCGGCTTGAAAAGGCCTCTCAGCTCAGGGATTTCGTTCGGGCTGAGTGACCTAGAGAGGGCCAGCGATGGCAGGTCATCTCACCATCATTACTGTGGGAAAGGAAGCTTCTTTGTGTGTGTGTGTGTGTGTGTGTGAGTTGGAGTCTCACTCTGTCACCCAGACTGGGGTGCAGCAGCCACTCCCGGTCACCGCAGCCTCGACCTGCTGGGCTCCGGCGATCCTTCCGCCTCAGCCTTCCAAGTAGCTGGAACTACAGGCGTGTGCTACCACACCCGGCTAATTTTGATTTATTGTAGAGAGGAGGTCTCGCCAGTTTGCCCAGACGGGTCTTGAACGCATGGGCTCAGGCAATCCACTCACCTCAGCCTCCCAAAACACTGGGATTACAGGCTGAGCCACCGAGCCCGGCAAGGAAGCTTCTTCTTAAAAGGCCTTGGCTGGGCACGATGGCTCATACCTGTAATCCCAGGACTTTGGGAGGCTGAGGAGGGAGGAGTGCTTGAACCCAGGAATTCAAGACCAGCCTAGGAAACATAGCAAGACCTCGTCTCTACAAAATTTGTTTAAAGATTAGCCAGGTATGGTGGCACACGCCTATAGTCCCAGCTACTAGGTAGGCTAAGGTGGAAGAATCGCCTGAGCCCAGGAGGTCGAGGCTGTGGTGAGCTGTGATACTGTCACTGCACTCCTGCCTGGGCAACAGAGTGAGACCCCGGCCCTCCCACCCGCCAAGCACCATGCTGAGAAGTTTCTAGGGACAGGATGCACGCCCCTCGTTCATTGTGGAGCTCCCAGCACTGCACTGGGTGGACAAGTCGGGGGGTCAGATACATGGAGAAGGAGGGGTGCGTGGGCGGGCAGGTGCGTAGGTGGGAAGATGAGTGGTGGGTGGATCACTGGGGGGTTAAGAGGTGAGGAGGAGGTGTCTATGAGAGTGGGGGGTGGGCACGTTGTTGGTTGATGGATAGATGGTGTTGTGGGTTGGCGTTTGTCTCCCAAAGGATGGGCTGCAGTCCTAACACCCTGGGACCTGGGAATGTGACCTTCTTTAGAAATAGGGTCTTCGAAGATGTGATCAAGTTAGCCTGAGGTCATGAGAGTGGGCCCTAATCCAATATGACCATCATCCTTGTAAGAAGGGAACAGCTGGGCGCCCCAGCTCATGCCTGGAATCCCGGCACTCTGGGAGGCTGACAGGGAGGATCTCTTGAGGCCAGACGTTCAAGACGTCACGACCTCATTTGGACCTCTGGCTTCTGGAACCAAGAGACAAAATCGTTCTGTTGTCTTAAGCCACCCAGTTTGTGTCACTGTTAGAGCAGGCCCAGGATGCTCATAAAGATGGGGGTGGACGAGTATTTGCCTGGACGGGTGGCAAAAAAGGAGGTGAATACCCTACATACTGCTTGGGACATACTTGTATCACTATTTGTCTGAAATTCACATTTAACTCAGCATTCTGCATTTCTGTTGGATTCTGACAACCCCCATAAGGGGGGAGCATGTGGGGGTGGTTGGGCACCCCCAGGGCTGGGAAAGGTGACCAGGGGGAGGCTGTTATGTAGAGAAAGAGGGCGGGAGCTGGAGTGGAGAGAGCTGGGAGGTTCTAGAGATGGGTGTGGGGGGGGGAAGAGGTCCCAGGGACGGGAGGAGGAGGTGAGGTTCGGGGATGGAGGGAGGAGGTGAAGTCTAAGGGATGGAAGGAGGAAGTGAGGCCCTGAGGAGGAAAGGAAGAGGTAAGGACCCAGGGCTGGAGCGAGGAGGGGAGG